CGGTGGCAAGTGTGCAACCGCATAAACAACCAATTGAGGAGCAAACTAAATTATCAGGTCTCACGGATTTAATCGACAAGTCTATTGATCCCGTGAAAGATGTTGAGGCAATGAACTTAAAAAATACGAATCGTAAGTACTGATATGCAAATTCTTGATAATTGATAATCGATAATTAATAACTTGTTTCCATTAATAATATTCCGATACTAAAAGCAAAAATATGCTTCGAGTATTTTTTTTATGGAATATAAAATTGTGCGATTTTATACGAAGAGATTAAATTGAATATAGAATTGAATATAAAAAAAAAGTATCGAATACAGAAACGAAAGCACTCGAAGAAGCTGTCAAGGATCCATTTCTGGCGCTCGCTATCGCTTCCGAGACTACAACAGATTACAAAACTCTACTGCAAATGGCAAAGTCCGCTGTAGCCACAAGCGAAGCTTCAATGAAAACCACGATCGACCCGCAAATTCTAGCACACTTCGCCATGGTCGCCCCGCCGACCACTGAGAAATCTACTATCGTTAAGAAGCAATATTTCATAGAGTCCAGCGACAATGACCTCGGTGGTAAGTACAAAACTATTGAAGTTCGAGAATGTCATAAATTTTGTATTATTATAAATTGAGGAATTTATGCCCATTGTTTTTACAGGCGATAATTTACTCGGCACTGAAGCTCGCCTTCGAAGGATAAAATCCGCGAATAACAGATTCATTACCACATCAAGACGGACACGTCGCGACGACAATGACGACAGTTCCTCATCTACGACGTCTGTCGAGCGAAGTCAGCGATATCGACCGCTACTGAATGATCCGGAAGAGAGACCGACGAATCATATCGAGACCGAAGGACAAAAGACCTCTGTCGAAACAATTAAACCGGAGGTCAAGCAGAACGGCAGCATTCCCACTAAACCGCCCGATAAAATCCAAAAACGTCGGCCGAAAACGGCCAAGAATAGGTAATAAAGTCAATGATAAATTGCAAAATTTTCCGATGATTTCGCGATAAATTATATACTTGGAAAACAGTAAAGTTAAACATCGAAATGTTCTTTAATATATAAAAATTCTCAAGGAGAAAGTTATCCAAGTTCTATATTTCACCTCAGAGCTTGTTAAATTTAAAATAAACCGTAACTTTATTTTTTGGCGAAAGGTAGCTCTATAAAAATACAATATGAATCCAAAAACATCTCTGAAAATAATCTTATATCTCTTAAATAATTTTAACAGTCATCGATCTCATTTTGTCTAATCAGGCAAATATATCTGACATAAACCAGGAAGTCGATACACGTTGAACAAGATATAACTAACCGTGACGACAGACAGTTTCCAAGTGTATAACGGCAAAATGACGCGTTAATTGACACGACTTAAATGACACATTAATTAAATCTCATCTAATAATTACCCCACATCGTTAGTTACTCAGTGTTCCACACCGTTTGTACTACAGATTCTTTGCCGATCGATTTTTCTTTGACAAAGATATTATATTTATAACATAATAAAAATACACGACAAAATCATTGTTAAAGTAAATTTCACTTAAAACTAATTGGAAGTTTGAAGCTTGGCTACAAATATGGGCATATTAATAATTGCAAATATGCAAAAATTAATAACAATTTACTTGACATTCTTGTTGAAGAAGAATCGTGTCTCGAGAGTCGTTTTAAACTAAAAAATCCATAGCGTTAAAAAGAGCCAGTGGCATCCTGTATAGAACGGTATAGAACGGTATCGGTAGTCGATTGACTGCTTCCCTAATCGGTCGGTGCATTTTTACGATGCATGCGCAGGGTATCGCCTAAGGAAATTGAGGAGCCGGCGAGGAGAAGGGAATCGATTGAGCGGAATAAGGCGGCCTCACCGCCAACGTCGTCCTCAGATCCGCTCGAGCCATGGAGCACGCGTGGCATTACCGACATGAACACAATATTGGCCTGGCGGGAGAACGCACCGGACAGTCCTTAATATGACTTTATGACATTTTGCGCTGCACCGATCACGACGTCGATGACGACGTCAATGTCAACGCCGTGGGGTCGCGCACGTGGATGATCCCGCATAAAAGAGCTCTTACACCCGAACGAAGCGATTTATTTTAAATATCGCGTATAGAGTCAAGTTTCAAAAAGTCTAGACACGCGCGACAGGTATTATACGCGCTTTATTTAATTCTACAATACGCAAAGTTGATCTCTATAACGTATCTAAAAGTTGTGCATAGATATGTCTATGATTTAGGAATAACCAGAAGCAAGAATGCGCACTATCGTTATAAATATAATTACAAGAGCACAATAACTGAGAGATAAAATTAATCGACAATATCTTTTTACGTATGTAAATGGTTGGCTTATCGTTTTTCCCGGGGTGAACTTTGAAACATAGATTAGTGTTGCATAAATTAGTTTTTGATGGTACCACGTGGCGCTTAACGTAAAAAAGAACTTGGGCTTTTACGGGAAGTATATAAGCTCGAGCTAAACAGTTTGTAAAGATATAACGATCGATTCAAAGCGATTTGCATATATAGCGGTATTGTGTGTATGGGGTACTATTAATATAGGTATTACTCAATCTTACTCGCGAGGCGCATATCTCATTATGGAAAACATGCCGCCAAGTAACAGGCTTCCGTATATGATAATTATTAAAGTAAACACATATGCCGGGGACCAAATGATGTTAACTTACCGTTACGTAATTTCCAGAGGGGTTGCATGATGAGAAATTTTCTCATACATGTACATATCTATTAAAATAAGCCACTGAGGAATTTCTTAAAGGTATACAGAACAGTTATATATAGCGTAGGCAACATATACCTACGTGCTTTAGAAGATATTTTCCAACTTTGAAGGAGATTTCGGATTTTTACTCTTACAAGATTTGCCAATTATGCAATTTAAATGTAAAATAAGATAGCAAGTTTAGCAGCTTGGCAAATTGCAATATTGTGCGAGAATAATAACTTCTTCTCTGGCAATATTAATTGTTTTCTTATTTTTATTTAATTTCCGCGTACTTAGTTCACGTTAAAGATTAGAATAGTATTCAAGATATATTCCAAGAGACAAAAATATCTCCATATGTTAAAATTTCTGTGTGAGCATGGATGTTAATTGTATATAATACATGTATAAAATAAATTATTTTTAAGTCGGTATATATCATTACCTATAAATTCCTTAAATTAATTTTATTCTTTTGCGTTTCATTGTTTCATGCACCACTTTCAGTTTTAATCAAAATGTTTGACAGACCATTACTCGGAAAATGTAAATTGCGTTACTGACAAAACAATCAACCCTTGCAAAATTGAGTTGTCGCATATGCATATTATTTTACGTTAAAACGTTAAGCAAATTTACAATGTCGTTAAACACGTCATGCAGTCCAAACTCGTGTACCTTTTTGCTCCATGCGTGGACATATGCAAGAATATTAAATTTTATATATTTATTTCTTCTTATATATATATATTACTCGAGAAATATTGGACATTTTATACTCACAATCAGTTAAATGCATAAAATAAAATGCACTGCATATCGCTAATAAAATATTACATATATCAAATGATATCGTTCTTGGAAATTTTTAATCATTCGCAATTGTAATTCACTGCGTCTACGATACGCTTTGTTTCGTGTACAATCTCCATCTATTGTTGCGGCGAAAGCAGCTGGAAAGACGACGAGATGTTCGGCAGTCTCGGAAACGTAACGTAACTTGAGAAGTTCTTACCTCCCGCGCGTATTGAAACAATAATGATATGAGAGACGGCCCTAGCTACGATACCGAAATGAAAACACGTGCCGCGCACGGTACGGGAGAAGAAACGAACTTACCGAACAGGCACGTTTACATGCTATAACATCTCTCGTGGGGGGACGATCGAACAAACAAATTTCGAGCCCGCCGCTACGTCAGAAATTCACCGTGATATTATTATCGAGAGCTTTATAAATCGCACTTAAGGGGAAATACGGCGTTGCAAAATTGCTCTACAAACAGTACCTTATAAGCGGAAGAGAGAATGGTTTATATTATTTTATATCGCTTTCACCTTCACTTTCGCTATAACAGACTTACTTAAAATGTTCGACTTTCTGTTCCGTATGTTTTTATCTCTGATAATTGTTTGATTCTGGTATATTATAGTGCTATGTAATAATATTATATACCGTTAAATATGTTATTTATTATTATTATTTTTGAAATATATTGTTATTTATCGTATTAATAAGGTTTGGGTCTCAAATGTGCCGCATAAGTATTTGCATCGATCAGATCCGTCCGAATTAAACGAAGTAAAATATAGATCCTGCGGTATTCCGCAACAGCGGAAAGAAGAAGAAAAGGATATAAATTTGGATATAAAGCAATGTGCCACCCCAGGCAAATAAAAATATCGGTCTGTGCCGAGTACCGGGCATTCCGCCCGCGAGATAATTTATCAGTGGCCCACTCTGTGGCAGCGATTTCTTTACATGGCAGCGTTGAATTCTCGACCGTAATAAATGCAGAATTGAGATACTTCGCGCGGTGCGTTGTTTAGACACACGTCTCGTTTCCCGTTCGCGCATCGATCAAGCGTAAGGCCGACCGGCGCGGCGCGGCGCGCGGCGAGTCGGTTCGCGTAGCGGCGATATGAATTTCCGTTTCGCGTTGCGCGATAAATTTTCTCACCAATCTGACATCTCGAAACTGTCGAAGTCGCTAAATTGATTCACGCGACCTGAAGTTGGACAGCTCGCGGGGGAGAAAAAAGAAAAGGAAAATTTATATATACGTCGCGCGATTAAGGGCGGAGGGCGGAGCGCGGATAGAAGCTGAAGCACGCAATTGTAGCTGACGCGTGTGACTAATCGTGCGAATGGGTTGACGACGATGGGGTTTAACCGGAGGGCAGTTCGTATCTTTTATCTCTTATCTTTTCTCACGCATTACAGCGAAGCGAGAGGGAGAATGTCAACGAACGAGAATAGAAATTATTGCCGTATTTGTCCCGATCACACCATGTGCTTATTTCCTGTAAATATTTATTAAGGCTGCTTGAGTAATGTCGCACGTGTCTACATAAACTTGTTTGATCCACAAAGAATAACAATTTTGTACGTTCGGTATAGTCAATCATGATAAAATATGCTGGGATACGTTCGAGCTTTTGGAAATTCAATACGTTTAACCTAGATTTTTTTATTATAATACTACGAGACATTTGCTATTTTGTATAATTGCAAAACTGAACAATGAAACCTTTCACAACAAAAGAACGTGCGCGCATCCTCAGTTTACAATTCGTTATTCATTCCTGTAGTCCGACTGCGAGAGCGCAGACTGCATTGATATGGAGAACAACAATCTCGACGAGGAGGATATCGCAACTGTACTCGACAGTCATAATCTTTATCGCGCCGTTATTGCGAGCGGCAAGGAGAACCGTGGAAATCCCGGGCCGCAGCCCGCCGCGAGGACCATGATGGAATTGGTAGAAAAATCGACGGGACACGCGCGACACGCGCGCGATATTTAATCATTTATCCCGGGGGTGGTGGACGGCGTCTGAAGGATCATTTGTTTCGACAGATCTGGGACGACGAACTCGCCGTTATAGCACGTCGATGGGCGTTGCAGTGCAAGCTCTTCGAGAAGGATCAGTGCCGAGACGTTGGCAAGTAACTTCGACGGATATATCTCATTTTTCATCCCTCTCTCTCTCGCCGCGCCGTTATTTTTCAATATCCAATAACCCATGCAGACGCGAAATTGTTCTACCGATACAACTATCGAAATACGCGCGTGCATATACAGCGTTATGTATAATATAAGACCGTACTCTCGATTCTCTAATTCTCTTATCGAGAGCTTTCGGATTTCAGTTTAAAGTTCATTCGGAGCTCACAGATTTCGGTGATAAGAAGATAAGAACACGCGAAAATAATCTTCGTATTCATAAGAAATAAGAAACTCGACAACCGACGGTAACATCTTTTTGTTTTGAAAACGTCAAATATTCTCTTCGAAATTACAGCAATTTCCGTATCTGCAAAATTGGATAAGCAAGCTAAAAGTTTTATTGTTAAGAAGACAGAACTGTGAGCAATTTCGTTTTTGTGATCATTGCTCTCAAGACGAACGCTGTACGAGGTCGAGGTATATACGGAATCTTATTGAAACAAGTCGCTTGTTGCAGAACGATTCGGAGTGTGGCAGAATGTAAATGCGCTCGACATGGACAGCGTGGAAAATAGCACGAGTAGGGAAAGAATTCACTTTCATATTACATCGTGGTACGATGAGGTGGAAGACTTTGACAACGCGGAAGTCGGGTAAAACTCGAAAGTGCGCACAGTATATATGTATGTACAGAATGCCCCATATTTAGCGAGACACCTTTTATTTATGTAGATGGTTCGACCAATTTCTTTTTGGCGAACATCGATGGAAGAACATTTATTATTTGTCGCAAGTTCTAAATTTTTAATAATATCTATCTTTTTCACTTATTAACTTTTAACAATATTTAAATTAAAATTTTATTAAAATAAAGTTCATTTAAAATCAAATTATTTAAAATTAAAGAACGTTTCCATCATCTATTCAGACATTTGAGTTTCCAAAAAATCCGTTACTTTCAATCATTTGTAACTTAAAAATTAATGATCTCGGGACGTTATTGTTGAGAAAAAAATATTGAATCTATGTTAATCGAAGACCCCCATAAGTGGAAGATAACTGACTATCTATGGGATATACTGATGTATACACAAATCGTGCGTCAAGAATCGTGAACACACGTACGCTTTCCTTACGTGTATATAGGTCGATAGTAATGCATCCGCGAATCACAATGCTGTCGAGAAAAAGGTACAATAGCTTGTACCGAGTTGATCAGAACGACTCCTTTGTGTCGAGAGACGCTATCCCTTTGTGAATACCCGATGTTCGGCGTGTAGACACACCTAACTCGGTCCCCCAAATTTTGGGGGAAGGTTTGCAGCCACCGCTCTGTTTCTCGCTTCCCTTCGTCTTTCTCCCGCCTTTCCGCCGATCCTCTATTTCATCCCACATATCCACCCTTGTTTCTGCTTTCACTCGCGATCGCGGTACCCTCATGGGAATCCAGTGCTGGTTTTAGGAATCTCGGTACCCCGAACGCAGACTTTCGCGCTCCCTCTTTACCATTCCTCCGTGAATCAAATAAGATTTAAAAAAATAAGCTAACAAGATTTCGAATATATATATCTGTACCTTTCATTTTCTTTTTATATAAAAAAAATTTCTTAAACATGTGATAGAATTTATAAAATTTTTATTTGTAGCGTTTTGTCAATAGCGAAATAAATATAAAATTCATAATATAAATATAATAAATTCATCAAATTAATTCTAAAATATTAAAGTTATTTTATATTTTTACTTCCTTTTTTAGATTTATTCGAAAGAAACAATAAATTAATCTGCAATTTAGTCTATATAAGTTTGGAAAGAAAATAACGTTCTTCAAAGATGATTAAATTAATGTTGACATATTTTTGTGGTACCTGCTTTTCTTGGTGCACTGAACAGCGGTTCGTTTCGATCACTCTTTAAAGTTGATACTGCGAGAGGTTTACGGGCAGTAAAGGAAGAGAAAGAGAGGGATGAAGACTTGACCGTCAGGGAAAATGACCGAAGACCGATTGCATGGAACAGAGGGTGGAAATAGAGGAACAGCGGATGGTGTTCTTCTTCTGTCGCACCGGGAACAATCAAAATCGCGTATTCTCTCGGTAAATTGGAAATCGAGAGTGCTATTGTACCGGTTCAAATTACTCGATACTCCGGTATACATGGATCCCCCCAGCAACTACGAACGAGCCTCTGTCGTTTTTTATTATTTCGGTCTGATAGAAAAAAATGGTTTCAATTTCCTACAGGACACATGAAAATGTGATACAATCAGACTTCGAACTTTAACCTTGTAAAGCATGCTCGAAAGAGAGCTGTACAAAAATGTAGTACCCCTATCTCTTTTTTATGTCTACAGCTTTTTATGTCGAATTTTATCCGAATACGTTTGCTAAGCAAATTGGTAACAGAGAGAGAAATATCGCTCCTTCCATAATATTAAGAATAAAACGATAGCTTTATGTACAATTTTTATGGCATTTTTTTCAGGCAACATGTGTCTGAGTTTTTAGAATTATCATATATACTTCGTGTCAAAATGAGATCTTAATTATTTTCACGTTCTCTCGTAAAACTTAATTAATAATTTCCATTCGTAATTATCAAGATAAATCTATAAGATGCGCGATAATCTCTCGAATCTTACGAGAGCATCTCAAATTAGGAAGAGACCCGTCCTAATTTGAATTCAAGCTGCGCGTCAATGGAGAGGGCTCGAGGCCCGAGGCTGGTTGTTGGCCGTCCACCTTCATTTAGTCCAGATAATCGTACCTTTCAGACTAGTGAACTATTCTAGTACGGCGTGGCAACTCTCCTCTTACATTCCCCTCGCATCGGCGACGTTCATTTACGTTGGCTGCGGCCGCGCGATTTACACGCTCGACTTGAACAAGACCGCGGCGGCGACGCCCGGCGGGTTTGGGAATCGGGTCGAAGTACTCGTGTGTAATTACGGACCCGTCGATCGCACCGCACCTCGGCAGCTCTACAAGCTCGGCCGACCGGGCCTGTGCCCGCTCGGGACCATCCCCAGCGACCGTTACCAGTCCCTTTGCAGTAAGTACAAGCCTTATCTTACGAAAACTTAAAGCTTAGGCTATTACGTCTTTTAATAAAAAATAAACATATTTCTGCAGAAAAAAGATAAAAAAATTAATAACTTTCGAAATAACGAAATGTATAATGTATCGCCATTTGTGCACTCTTTAAATTATCTAACGATCTTTTTTATTATCAATCATAATAAGAGTAACGATTATGATGTCAGCGAATGCTTGTGTTATATATATATTTTCAAGATAACGTAAATATATTCAAATGTAATACTATAGTGCGAAATGCACAAAGTATCTCGTAAAGTTTAACATTAACAAGGCCTAATAATTTTTATGTGTTAATACTGCGTGAGCAAGCAGTCATATACAGTTTGTTTGCAAATCTTAAATAATGGTGCGAAGGTTCCGCACCGTTGTCGTCACGTTGTCTGCCCATGCACATTCATTACTACTTATTTAGCGATTGGACACTTAAACGAGTCGGTTATCCGTCCGCGCTTCATCGATCGTTACGGAACACGCGACCACTCGGTTAATCCTTAAGCACGAAAGCTCGTTTATCTTTATCGGTGTTTCTGAGTCTCAGATGCCGGGAGCACTTTTGTGTAAGAAGATTACCTTTGTCGGGAAAGGTGGGAAATCTTTCTCTCGCCGTTAATACTTGCTGACCCGCCTTTCGATACGTTATTTTTGTAAACATATTTCTTCTATATATTTTTTTATGCATTGTTGGATGGGTACGTAAATATGTAACGTTATATAAAAAAACTTATAAAAAGAAATAGAAATAATATTCAATAAATATATTCAATAAATATGTACTAACAGAACGGAAAATTTTTTGTTATCATCTCTTTTCGTATAATAATATTTTAAAAATATTTTTAATGTCAAATTTTATATTTTTATTAATATTATTAGTATTAATATTGATATAATTTTATTATTTATATTTTATTATTACTATTAATATTATTAGTACATATACATAGGTATATTAACTAACAATAAGGCAAAAATTTTATACGTCATCATGTGTTATCATTTTACTTTAAATTCTCGATCTGTTTTCTACATATAAAAATATCTGCATTGCAGCTTACGCGATTAAGATGAAGGGAACAAGGTTCGTTATCTTTCATTATCGCGTATATCTTCCCCCGCGTTGATCACATTAGTCAACCAGACGAAACCAGGTTAAGGTCCGTCAATGTGGATCAATGTTTTCGTGCTCACTTTCGGCTGACGTGCACAGAATGACGAAACTGCAATTAATGCTGAGTAATCTCGCTGTATTAAAATGTAAAAAAAAAAAACGATAGCTACTTTTTTTGAACGATCAGCACCGCCCTTGTCGTACGATGTATATAGCGATTATTCATCCCTTTCTGAACACCAAGAACTTGACATAAGAATGATGGATGGACTAATATCACCGAAAAGGACATATCGTCGTTCCCCGATAATAATTCAGACATTTTTATTCTTCCCACGTAACACGGTAACACGTAACATGCTTCCGAAAAATGATCTCGTAAATAAATTTATAGATGTCTCAGAGAATCTAGAAATATAGACCAAATATGTTGGGAGTCAAACTAAAAAGAATGATTTTTTTTTAATATAAAAACGTATTATTTTTCATTCACGATTAGAATAATTGAGGCGTTTTAATAATTTCAGATTAAATATAAAATTAAAGATTATTTTTAGTATCAATCCCAAAATTCTATCTGAACATATGTGACGTCACTGATATATGTTATTTCATTTAGGAACGTTGCAGGATTCGCCATTTCTGAGAAAATCAAGCCGAACATCGCAAGTGAGAAACAAGCAACAGATAAGCAATCGTACGTCTTCTAATACCGTCCATATTGTCTCTCTGAGTCAGCTATTGTTGTTCTGTACAATGTCGCTATACTTAACGCTGTGATTACTGTTGTATCGTAGATAAACTACTAAACATCATTTTAAGATAATCTAAAATATTGAGCCAATGTGTATCTATCTATCATTACGTAATGCTATCGGATGTCAGGTTTATCTGAATTACAATGCACATTGTGCGCATTTGTATATGCGTAATAATGCCATTGTAATCTGAGTAAATATAGCATTGCCATTATGATTCGCGAGTAAATTGTGAGTAAAATTGTCAGTAACAAGTAACTGATGATTTAACAATTATTAGTTTATAAATTATGGAAATGTGATAAACATGTGGAAATACATCGCATTACGGTGTTGACTACAGTGATTTTATCGTACATATCACGAGTTAAATCTATGTAGATTTAATGTCTGCTAATTAAATTTACATTTATCTTTGTTTCGATCGGAAACTGGAGACTAATATTCACTATTACTCGTTTTCTAAAATTTTACGCTCCGAGATAAGCGTAATTTTAAGCGTAATTATGTTATGTGGTCTCAATAAATAAAGAAAAAGTGGAAATCATTGAAATTTTAACACTGAATCGCCGTTTTTTAATTTAATTTTATCTTTTATCTCTTAAAAAATTTTTGTAAAGTTATTCAAATTTCCGACTAATTAAATTTACATGATTAATCCGAAACTCAAATTTCACTCAAAGTAATGGATGTGTATGATCTATTTCAGATGGATCGTTAACGTTTCAATTTTATTTTAAATTTGTATGCATCTTATCACATGTATATTTCTTAAACATTCATTACCTCAAATAAAATAAAAAATAACTTGACTCACCACTTTATGATGCGCAGCAGCGGAGTTTGTGATCTGCAAAATACAAATATATTTGCGTTATAGCGTTCAAGTAATAATTATAGCGTTCAATAAATATAAAAAAAAAAAATTATTACGTGGATTAAATTTATCATTTATCTCGCAGTAAAGATAGCTAACAAAGTAGCGATAAAAGATAGATAACAATCTATTTCCTTTAATGTAAAATTTACAAATAAAAGATCTGATGCTCGCGTAAATTAAACACGTCAAGAGTATTTTCCGTATATAACAAATATCAGATATCTTCTAAAAAAATAATCAAAAATATTTTACGTTACATGATGGTGCAAAGTGACGCGCCGAACGCAACAGACGGTGGCAATCGCGGAGATAAAAACGATTAATTCGTCGGGTAATAAAACAAATAAATAATCATCGAGTAAACTCACCCATCATCGCTCCGCCGTCGCCCGATGCCGTCCCGGGCCTCCGCCTCCTCTCCTCCTCCACTCCTCCTCCTCTCCTCCTTCGTCGTCGCGGCTCTTTCATGGCACTCACTCGCTAAAAGGGTTAACTGCGATTAATGCACGTGTGTATGCGTTAATCCCCGTAACACAACGATCGCGCGGTGCTTTGCACGGTAGCGATCGCAATGATCGCATGCGACGAGCACTCTCTCGCGTCACGGGGACCGAAGAACGAAGGCGAAAGAACAATCGCGACGGTACGAGACTGCGATACGTTCGGCATCCGCAAAGTGTCGCAGATTAGAACAGCGAATCAATCGAATCGCGAGCGGCGGAGCGGTTTCAAAAATTATCGCGACCAACTTCACGTCGTCGCCGGTCGCCGCACTTGTTGCTCCCGATTGCACGTTCGTGCGTTTTCCGCTCCTCGAGTAAGAAACAGTTCGTTCGCGTTTCGGAGCAACACACACACCGACACACATCACACGCACATTGTCTTTCTCTCTCTTTCTCTCTCTCTCTTTCCTGCGTGTTGCGATGCGAGCGAATAAGAATTGGAGTTAAAGTCGAAGGTAAGACACTCGCCATGTTGGTCATACGTCGCTTCGCCGAGTGTCCCGACAAATCTCCGTCGAATAAACGTCGCGAGATACGGTACGCGTCTCATCGATATCGCCGATGGTTAAGAACGTCGAATCGCGCCACGCGACCGACGAGTATCGAAACAAAGAAGCCAATTACAATTCCACTTACTGAAAACGTAAAACCACTTTGCGACGTTTGATTCTGCGTCGATCCTTTCTCGCTCCACTCGCTCCACCAGCTACACGACAGTCCACGACCAGTGATACCAAAATCAGCCAAAACGGAGCCGCGGGCGGCGCTGGCGCGGGCCGCGGCTTTTCGGCGGCACGAGTGGTGGGGGTAGGGTGACTAGGGCTAGTCACTAGGCACGCCGCGCGACGCGCGCGCTCACTCCATCGCCACCACTCGTGTCGCCGAGAAGCCGTAGCTCCATATGCTGGCATTATACTGAGAACGCGACGCCTCGTCTTCGTCGATAATCAATTCCGAAAAATCGGTCTCGGTAACTTCACTCCGATCCGAGGTACGACACGATGAGTCGAATCAACGGCCAAATTAATGGATCGCGATTCGAAATTACACAATTCGGTAGGTATAGGATATTCACACGGTCCGCGGATAATATATATTAATACCGCGAAGCACATGTGATTACACATTACGAACAAACGGTCGATTTCTGTCTCATTCAAATTAACAGAATCACTCGATTGAGTGACTCGCGCAGATATTACCGTCCAATCGGAAACGAATAGCCATTTACGTTTAGTATTCGAGCCAAGTCGACCATATATCGAAAGCGAGAGACGCGGAGGGCGACGCAAATATACGGAATATAAATATACACGAGTCTCGTTGAGGAAACGATTGCCCACACCCGTTAAGTATCGCGAGAAGTGGCAATTTTTTAACCCTGTTGCGTTGATCTCGCGTTTGAACGTGCGAACGAGCCCGCTCCAAGCACTCTAACCGATGGTCCAATGAGAATTTGTTTTCGAAAAAGAAATTTTCTCATTGGACCGTCGGCTGCGTTCCGACATACGATTGATTGTAGAACCGGACTAAAGCCCATTCTACAATAGCCGTAAAGTATGCATTAAGACGTAAGCAGTAAGCTATTGACTAATGGGATTTTTACAATCCAAGAATGATCGACTGTAGTTGGTCAATTTTTACTGTTTACGTCTTAAAACATACTTTTACGGCTATTGTAGAATGGGCTTAAAGCCCGGTCTACATAGACCGCAGTTCGCAAAACGCAAGACACACGCACAGTCTACATGTCAATCTAACCTCTATACACAGAGAAATTAGATTGATATGTAGACTGTGCGTGTGTCTTACGTTTTGCGAACTGCGGCCTATGTAGACCGGGCTTAAAGACGAGCGTCGCTGTCGTCGCTTTGGCGCGAGCGCGGAATCGCGCGGTTTTTTCGCGGAGATGCGTCGCGTTTCGAGATGTGTCGCGTTCGCGATGGCTCGCGAATTCGTAGGGGACGTAGGGTAACCGGTAAGTAATAATGGGGCCATGACGTACGCGGCTGCCTGCTCGAGTCTCGCCCTCGCCGCGCGAATGCCGCGAATAACGGCTACGGTAACCTTGCGTGGGCGTCGGCCGGCGCGGCGTCACGTCGGGTAGCGCGCGGTAAACAATTCTCGGAAAATAAAGTCGCGCGCGGCCGAGTCGTCGTCGTCGCTAGAAGAACGTTCGACGCGGTGTGAACCGGCGCACTTACTCTTCCTGAATCCCGGATCCCGGATCCCGGATCCCGGATCCCGGAATGCTCCGAAACTTAACTCGCTCCGATCCCGCGGTCAGTTTGATGGTTAGATTACTTGCCGTACATTAATATTAGACTAGTTAGACGATCGACTTGTTACAGTTGTTACTGGAAGCTGGCCGTATTGCGCTCCGACAGAAGGCAGGAACTACAATATATTATAATTAAAGAAGAAGAAGAAAAAGACGATCGACTTGTGTCGATTATTATAGGACTTCAAGAACCTAAAGGCTCGTTGCGAGAAAATGCCGTTTTGCACCTCGTGTATAAACTGACGTGCTCTTAATTTGCAACGTTTCTCACGTTGCATTTTCGAAAACGTTATTGCGGAGAGACACGCGCTGGCTTCGGTCGCGAGAGAGAGAGAGAGAGAAAGAGAGAGAGGGGGGCTCTTCTATTCCGTGGAATTTATCCCTTTGACGCAAACGTTGTTCGAGCTGATGAATTTTTACTGAGGCTTCCTACCGCCGCAAAAGCCGGGGGACTACGCCTCCCGCATCATTCTACGAGTTACCTTGAGTCTCCGCGAAGATGGAAAAGGTGCCCGATAAAAACAGGCTACAACGTGAAGCATTACTCCTGATTTCTCCCGAAAAAATACCTCCGGAGTAAAAGAGGAAAAATATCAAGGAGCCGAGCGCGACGAGAGATAAAGGAGTTCGAACAGCGGAAAGGAATTTCAACGTCAGCCGGAGTGAAAGGAAGAAGACTATTACTACTGATAGCGATGATCGGAGTAGTAACAAGTGAATGTGACGCGGACGGGCAAAAAAGACGAAGGCGAAGGGAAAAGAAGAGAATGCGCAAGGTGGAGAAGTGTGCCAACTTCGCTTTTTGAAATATTCGAATCCTAAGTCCATCAAGAAGAGTGATTGGATACGATGTCAGCGAAACGGCGAGCGGTATCGCGAGGTCTTCTATAGGTGAGTGTGAAAAAGCTTCGTACGTGATAAATGCATGTAAGTAACGTGGGAATTAAAAAGGAAAACGATAGTCGTGTGAGCCGTTTTAATTTTGAAGTGTAAATGGGCGAATTATAGCGACACATGCAACGAAATGTGAAAAAGGTAGCGTGTCGTGAAAAATATGGCGTGAAAATAAACGAACGTGTATCTCAGTTGACCATTTTATTTTAATGGTTTGTTTTAATAGAGACAAATATGCAGAAAGAAATCGATCGATCGCAGCTTTCGGCGATGGACGTCCTATCGTTACGAAACGATCATTTACCGTGTAAACAGTTATATCGATGTTATTTCAACGTCTGCTCGAATATTCGAATATTCGTAACTCTTTTTCGTACATTACGACACTTGTGTAACTGTAATACTACGTCAGTGTTTTTCATGAAGTATATTTTTAGTTCTCACGTTAAGAAAGAATTAATAATATTATATATTACATAATTTTGACGAATCTATAACGTATTATGGACGCTACAGAATGCGTTATAAAATCAAATAAAATAACCTGATAAACACGTTTACATCATTTTGCAATAAATCAATATTACAATGTATTTAACAAATTAATTCATAATGTTTTAAGTAATTTAACAATCTGGTATACCTACGGTATATAAAATACGGTATATAATGTAACAAAACACGATGTTTTATTAATGTTTCTGTACATTCTTTTATATAAAGAATTCTAATACATTTTATAACATATCATAAAAATTTTCTCTTTTTTTTATTTCGAAGAATTAAATAATTATGATAAAATATACTCATCTAACTTAACGATAAATTCCTAAAATAAAATGTACTCAATACATTTTATCTAGAATAAATTTATATTTTTTAATTATAACAATCAATCGGTAGATTTGATATTCTATAAAATAATTATGAATTAGTTTGTGCGTACGATACCGATTCTTCGCGCGCCGACCACACGTTTATTAAATACGTGGGAAGGGATGGGGATTACGCGTGGCGGGTTAAAAGGTAGGCTCGGTCGTAACGTCTATTCATCCCGATTCATTGTCAGCCAGGCGAGCGAGCGCGGGGTGCGCTCTGCCGCTAAAGTATGTCGCACTTTCAAAGTATAAGCACGCACGTTCAAAAGCTGCATAGAGATCGAATGTGCGGCGTACGTTAGACGCGTGCTCTCCGAGCGAGCGAGAATAGCAAATACATAATAGTGATACGCGCCACGTTACTCATATACGCGCGATAACATGTAACATGTAACGCGCTGAAATACTGTAACACGACGCCCTAACTAAATTCTATCTCTTTATCATATTTCATTACAACGGCGCATTCGTCGCATGTTGCGCATTAGAGACGATATTACGATTTAATTACAATACAGGTATCGATGCTGTCCTTTTATTACATCTCGTAACGGTATATTACGGTGTATGCTGTAACGTTCAGTTGATATCTTGAAATGGATCTTTTAATCGATATAGTTTGCTACAATTCCGCTAGGAAAATAGAAGTTATAATGAGTCACGTTAACCGTTGGACGCGTTATTTCTTAGTGAATTTTGCAAAAACTTGAAACGTACGTATTAGTAAAAGAATTATTTTAGGTTCCACAAAAATAGTTCTAAAATATCTCTATATTATCGAGTATCGTAATCACAAGTAAATGCTCCAAAATTTTCATTACTATATTTTAAATAATTGTTCGAGATTACGATCGCTAAAAATAGCGATTGTTTCATAGCAGGCACCACGACATTTTTATCGATCTTCTTTTCAACATTTTATATATCATAACGAAACTTGAGTTGTTCTCGGACCTGCTCCGGCGATCGATGGTTTGAAAGCTTGTTGATTTTAAACGTAATCAAACAGGACGAAACCGCTATCTCGCAATACTAGCGGTACATCATGAACTTTGTTAGTCGTAATGATTCCGAGAAGCCAACAATTCTATTGTCTCTACTCGCTGTTGCCAGGGGCTCGGAGTCTCTGGTATATTCGTTGCGAGTATAAAAAACTCCGGAACTTCCTCTTACGTTGATTAGTCGTTGTTAGTCATTACCTACTTTCGATCGCGAGCGGTCTAAATTACAGTGAACGAAAATGTAACTAAACGAATTCAATGCGGAACACTCGCAATTCGGTCTACCTCTAAATTCTATAAACCTCGTATAAAGTTTTCTTTTTCTCTTTTGTATATTTTGGCTGTATAATAAAGTGACGCGCCACGTTTGAAATATTTGCGTCAGTTCCCACGTTATCTCCATCTTCCTTCTTCACGTCGCATCGTGAACAACAATATACAAATAAAATAATAAAAATATTACTTAACAATCTCACGTTCTAATGCTTAATTCTAACAGGCATTCTACTAAATTAGTAATTTTAATCAATACGATTATTTATTGTTTCAGATGCAGATACGGATGCACTTTCTGCGGATTTGCCACCTGCAGTACCGGAGGATCCGGTTCGGGCCAAGCAGGACCGGCTCGAAGGTAGATTTTATGTTTATTTTTAACATTTTGCATTAGAAATTTAGTAGTTTTAAATATGTTCTTTTTACAATCCAATCAATGTAAAATTTAATATTTAATATGTGAAATATGTATTAAAAATTCTAAATAAAGCATATACATATATACAAATATATAAAATAATAGATATTTCTTAATTCTTATAATATATTTTATATAAATAATACTTTATATACATATAAAAGTTATATTTGATTATTGTAAAAGAAAACTTTAACATTGTTTATTATAAATTTGTTTAATTTATATCTAATCGGTCATATTATGTTTTTGTTTCAGAACCGGATGCAGAGACGTGGCCGGTCCTGGATAGGCGATATCGGTGAGTAAAATTTAGGGTATTGGTGATGGTTTTTCCCGTCGAAATTGCTATTTCTGAAATCAGTGCGATTCACATTTTGCGTTAGATTTTTGCATGTACGAGAATTTCTTTATAAGAAACGTCGAGCGGAAAAGGGATATAAGTCATATTTCTCACATTTTTCAAGCAGAAAATTCATAAAATAGAGATACTTATAATAGAACTACTTTATTGTAACACTTTTATCGATTTAATTTATAACAGCTATTATATAATTGAATAAATAACTTGATACAATATAGCAGTTTTTTTAACGATTGCTTTGTGTGTGTACTTTTTTACTTAAAATTAAATAATTACGTATAAAGACTTCTAAATAAAATTTGATAATTGTTAAATTTTATAATACAGAATGTGTGCGTGCATATATATTTTCTTTCTCTAAAATATCTGGTTAAGCTTTACCAGTGACGTTATATCACTATTCTTTATCATCGTCGACTTATAACATTTATCCGTTCTCGATGGTTCAGTTTTTAGTATAAAGTTTTTTGCCGTCGATATCGACGCTTGAACTTTGTAAGCTTGAAAATAATCATGTGAATTATAAATCGTGGTTATTTTGCACGTCCCAATAGGACACAATTTTTGGTTCTCTATTTTTCTGTTTATTTTGTTATTGTTAATTTTCTGTCAGCTTCGCGTGCGAAAAATCATTAAATCCACGGATATTGGAAAACATTTTACGGAAATTCTAATTATATTAGACTTTGCTTCTTTTAGTTTTATGCTTTCAGTTTTTTCCGTTTTCTGATCTATATTTTTTATCATAAATCTTTTATCGGAAATAGAAATAGAGGCTTTACAAAATTAAGTTTGTACAAAATGTCTCAGTTTTCGTGTAATTATTTTATTGATTATTAATATTAGCCGTTTTTATTAATATTAGCAATTGGAAAATTGATAACATTTTCATTTAATTAACTTCACGAAAAGAATTCAACGATAACGTTAAAAATTTAGCGACATCAATTTTATTTGCAAATTATTTCACATAAACGGAGTAATTAGCATTTTCTACTAACAATCGTTATAATTGTTAGATTGTTAGACTGTTAGGCTGTTTCCTTTTATGCATTATTTACTTCGACATTGCAATTGCTGTTAAACGATATTCGCAAAAGATTTGCGAAATTGAATTCTGCGTTATAGGCAATGCGATCTTCTCAAGAATATTATGAAACGAGGTGATCTGTGCAAGAATATTGCTAAGCAATAAAATTTAAATGAAATTTAAACTATATTAAAAGAAACCGCAAATTCTTCATTTTTCGATAAATACTCTTTAAACTTAATTTATAAATACTTTATAATAGATTTATCATTTATGATAGATATTATCATTAAAACTATTCGTAAAATGTTGCGTCATACATATTACGTAAATGAGTTTGCAAATTAATATAGATTTCTCGTGTAAATGCACTGTGAGTGAAATGAAGTGATCTGAGAAGTAAAGTTCACTGCAGTCTTCTAGAATTAACTCTCTCTTTAAGATTTACACGCTTTATTTTATGATAAATTCTCGCGTTAATTATTATATATATCCGTGAATAATGAATTATAAAATTAGTTGAAATTGCAATTTTGTGAATTTCGCGTCGCGAGTGGTTTATATAAAGTGCAATCAACGAGGGACGACACAGGAAGGCTCTCGAACCACTTGGGTACTATTGCAGTGGAAGATGCATCGGTGGACGTCGAGGGACGTCGCGAAATGATGAGTTTAAATTATAAATTTTACATTAACCTGTTGTTTTAACTATATTTTTATGCACTTTGTTGCGGTTTATGTATACATATTATTTTCATAATTTCGCATAATTAAACATATTATCAGAAAAAATTTACGTCAATTATTTAAAATATAATAATTTAATTATAAAAAATAATAATGATTTAATAAGCATTTTCTTCGCAATAATTGCATAATTAATTGCGTCCTTTTTAAAAATTAATTCAATACTTGAAATTTTATCGAACAATATATCTGGTCTATTTTCTGAACACTTAAAAATTGCAATCTCTAATTTAATATTTTATAGAATTATTTCCCAAGCACAAGTTATCAAGAGAAATTTTTAATGAGCTATAGACTAAAGAGATATGGGGATGAAAGTGACCAAGACGTATTAATTACATACCGCTAACTTTTATGCTGTTATTAGCCTGTTTTTATTATCAAATGATTAAATATTAGAAAAGCTTTTTTATCGTTCTTACAAAATAATAATTTTTTTCTCTCTCTCTCTCTCTCTCTCTCTCTCTCTCTTCATCTATTTATATTTAATAATCAAAATATTCGTGAAATATATAATACATACGGATATATTTAAATACTTACTTATACTTAAGTACTTAAATATTTATACTATATAATATTAAATATAAATTTTGTAATTCTATAAATATAAGAGAATTTTATTTCTTGCAATATTATTCGTTTACCTATATATTGATATATATAAGACAAAAAAGAGAGTGCAAAATGTAGTTAAAAAGAACAGGTTATACTGCATGCGTAGTAATCGCTTGTAATAATCGCACTGATTTCCAACAGAAGAAATCATGAACTGTCAAATTTATTATTTTATATTTTGCGCGTCGCGTCGTTTCACTTATTATTAAAAAGTATATTTCTACATATTTGGTTCGCAAATGCAATCCAAGTATGTAAAATTAACTTTCTTGTATTTCCTATATTTTGTCTAATATTTTTTATTATTACAATTTATGTTATTGTTGTATTCTATGAAATTTGTATGTATATTTAATATTTATGAAACGTTTATGTTTATGTAGCAGTTATGTACATTTATGAAATTTTTATACATTTCTTTGCAAGTTAATATTTTTATGTATTTACATACACATATATAAAAATTTACTATTTACAGATTTATATTCGCGGCATTTTGTTTTTATGTATCTCTTTATGCAATTTTTGCTATTCTATTATTATAGCTATTCAATAATCCTGTTCTTCGATATCCAATGTAGAAATATTCCTAGGCAATAATCAAGCGCTGAAACACAGTTATAAATACTATATGGTATAAATAAGATATAAATACGTTATAAATAAAACGTTATAATACGCAAATTTGAAATTATTAAAATTAAATGAAATAATTAAAACTAAATTAAAAGAAAGGAAGCTATTTTGAATAAATAATCGAATATTTATAAAATAATCAAAGATCTATAAATACAAATCTTTTTTTAGTTACTTTTTTAGTTACGCTATCAAAAAACAAAAGTTATATATGACGATTTTATTAATTAATACAAATACGTAAATTTAAAATTTTACTAAAAATTTTAAAATTCCCCAAAAATTGAAGTATATATGCTTCGATAAAAATTTTATAAATAAACATTTGTGCGGAAAAACATATATATATATATATATTTAAAATACAAAAAATGGTAATTTTCAAAAAGATTTCGTAAAACGTAACAATCTTTATATCCATCGAATAACTATAATATTCGTTTCTCTGATCAAGTGATTGAACTCTATCCGCATATACCTAATATCGTTCTCACCTGAAGACCGTGCGCGGCCGATCTCATCGAATCTTTGATAATCCGCGCTCAATTTTGGCAGGCGAACGTGCACGGAGGCTCGGATGGCTGTGCCAAGATTCGCAGGGCAGAATGTAAGGAAGCCGAGTCTCCGATGCCGCAGGAATTCCAATTTCTTCTCGATTTCTTGGACCACTTTAACGAGTCTCTCGTATACCGCCGCCCGAGGTTACCATCTCGTTCCATCGATATCAAACGCATGTGATCCTCCTCGTTGCACCAGACAAGGAAAGTTTTCTTCTCGTTAAAAAATATCCCCGGGTACCTGGAGGAAAGAATACGGCGCGATACAAGCACGGTAGTTTTATATGCCTTGAACTTTCAACCGGGAAGCCGTTCTCCTTTAATCGCGAAAGGTCTTCTATTACATCCCGTTGTCTTAAGTATTTTTGTGTGATAGTTTTCGTTGTTATTGTGTGTGTGTATGTGTATGTGTGTACTTATAAATATTACACTAAGTTTCTTGTAGTACGGCAGAAATAATGGATAGGTCGCAAGGAAGCAATTCCGTTTAACCTTTAACCAAAATCGTCGTATTTTGAGTCAAGGGACATTATATTGCGTGTTCAGAAAGTTGGAAAGTTGCCTCGCCCACTTACATTTTAATTTGAATCATTTTTTCGTTTATAATCACGTGAAATGCTCGAAGCGTGGCATAAACTTTATCACGAAACAAGTATGTCTTAAAGATAAACTTGCTTTCGCTTAAATCTCACTTCGCACGATCTTGCAAGCTCTTACTTAAGTCTGGCAGTTTTATTAATAAATTGTAAGTACTATTAAATTCAGTTACAAAAGTAAAATCGTGGCGAATATCGAAATTAAATGAAGCCCAAGGTCAAGATTAGCTTCGAAATAAGCGCTTTTTAAATTAATCTAGCGATAAGGTAATATCTCATAAAGTACATGATACGAAAAGTCTAATATTCGAATGAGCATAAGCCGAGAGCGCGATGCACTTTAATCTATTAGTGTATTCAAAGGCTAGTCCGTATTGATTCAACCGGTCGGGCGAATCTCTTTATTAAAAGGAAAAACGGATCCGACTATGATTCTGATTATCCGTGAGTAACAAGCAGGCAGCGCGGTAATCTCCATCGAATGCACGCAACAAATGGAAAAAGAAATGCAGCGAGATATGCAATAGATAGACGAATCAAACAAAGCACGCAATTAAATTTGTCCTATGGCGAATCATATTTCTGCACATTGCACATTTAATTAATATTAGCAGCAATGTCAAATGAGGGGAGCAAGGGGAAAATCCAACAGAGTTATGATGTTAATTAAGTATAACTGCATATGCGCCCTGCGTAAACGCGGGAAAGGGCGCGCCGAGATCCTTTGTTTGGCAGGCGGTAAAAAATGAAACGTTTTTTTTTAATTGACGTGATAATTTGTTTTATCTTCCATTTAAAACCTTTTCAACGTAACCTGGATTATTCCATTGTGTACATTTTAAAAATCTGTCCGCTAAATGACGAAAAAAAGAACCGGCTGGGGAAAATAGCCGAAAACTCTTTTGTGTCTCGTTTTTCATAATAACGAATTAATGATTCAAAACACACCGTGTGCATTTCGCGAGGGCGCGTGTAATCTGGAGCGGTTCATAAAAAAGGGAAGAAAAAAGAATTCAACAAAACATTCGGTTCTCTTAGAAAACTCTCAAGCACTGTACGCCACACCCTTCTAAGCTCCGTAACACTAAGCTCCATAATACCTTCTAACCCTTTTAACTCCCTAATCCTAGAGGCGAAGGGATCTTCGAGACCTCATCGTGACGAAAATCATTAATGCAAATTTATTTAATCAGCTGTTTGCCGCTCTTGTACCGCGTAACATATATATGTAAGATATTATGCCGTAGAACACATTGTTTACACGAACATCATGGGGGATTTGTAACTTAAATTATTATTTAAAGTGAGGTATGATAAGACGTGGATATAAAAATCCTTATTACGAAGCTGCTTAAAAATGCATGTTGCGGTTTGCGGGTCGGAACTCGGAACATTTGCCGACACACGCGCGCGTAATCGTTTTGCTTATTCCCGTACAGAACTTGCTTTAATCTTAGTAAAGTTTTGGTTTAATCTTCGTTTCAACATAAATCCTCGATTTGGGGTGTATGGCTTACTGAGGGATTAATGTTTTCGAGTAGGCTGAAGGAACTTAAGACATTGTAATTGAATGTTTTAACGAAAGTAACTACGGTTGGATCGAAGTTCGACCCCGTATAATATTAGTCGTCGAAGTTGGCTGTTAGCGTGCAGTTAAGATAAATGGAATACATTTGCAACACCGTCCGATTTCTACTATAAATAAGATGCGAGGTGTTAGATAATTTTAGTTTATCTGTGGAAATGTAATTTAGTGCTGAATTATGTACACATAATTCGAAACTAATTTCAAACGTAGGCGAATAAGAAAATATAACGCTATTAATATTAGTTGTATATTACATTGGGAGATTTACCCGTTGGCCAAAACCTAATAATGTTCGCTGCTTTTAGAAATCTGTCGCCTTCCTTGAACGGGAAATGATCATTCAGTAATTATTGCCGGATCTGTTTGTCTAATGCTCCAAGCGTGTAATAGGTCCCTTTGAGCTCGTCCTTTAACGAGGTTAAAGCTTCCTGTATCCAGAGGTACAGGATAATCGTGTTATAAAAGCTATCTTGTAGCTTCACTCTTACGGCAGCTTTAATTCTCTTTCGCCACGGCACTAAGCGATACAAAACTAATTGCAGAAATCATTTTCTTGGGATAAATCGCGCGCGCTTTCTACCAATGGCGGATTTAGTACTTCAGAAGCCTTAAATGCGACGATCCCTGCTTTGTTCAGCTTTATATCAGTTCGATAGACAGAGCAAGAATTTATTTACACGTTCTTATGGAATGAATAAGATTTCACAAATTTCTCTATCGAACGTTCGTTTTTATTAGAAATTACAAAGAAGATAAATTATTATTAACTCGCACAACGATTTGAGAAACAGCTAAAGCTCTGAGAATCCGTTTAACTCGCTCATAAGTCCTCCACTGTCTTCCATTTTCTACTTTAGCTCGCGGTAATGAATCTCGCTCATGGCAGGATTGAATGGATAACAGGATAACCCTTGATCGACCTTACGCAATCCGCATCAAGATCATGTGCTTTCTTCTTGGATAAAGATTACTCAGTTTTCCTGGCTCACCCCTCAATCTAGGTCGGAATGAACGTCGTTATCCCTAAAACCACTGTGATACTCTTCGATTACAGGGTCGAATAATCTGGTGAAGACGTTATAGGTCTCGGGATCAGACGCGTATATGCCCGTGATAGAATCAGGATTCACCGGGCCAAGGCGCGAATCATGGTCTTAGGGTCAAATCCCAAGTGACTGCGCGTGTCTTTAGTTGATCGAACAAAGTCCTCATCAGATCTTTTTTTAGCGAGAAATCACCTTTGTTCGAAAATAAAATTAAATATGCCGTAACGGAAAATGTCAACCAAATTTTTTGGTTGACATTTTCAACTACACTTTTTAAAAAGTTAATAAAATGTAGGACTTTTATAAATGCAGTCATTTCATGCATTTTTTATGTACAGAGTATGTACATATTCTAAGTATCGGGTATTCATCGTTATGTTTTATGCAAAATATTGCCATATTTAATTAAAAATTTTATTAATTCTCCTGAAGTTTAGTTTGATTTAAATAGAATGCATATAGTATTAAACGAGTATAAGCTGGAGAATATATTTAATTTTATTCTACCTTTTTTGTTTGTATTCATTATATCATTCTAACTAAGTATCACATATTCATCGTTTTATATGCAAATAATTTACCACATTTAATTAAAAAATTTTTTAATTTTCCGGAAGTTTAGTTTGTTGTTAGATAGAATTACATTTTTTTAATATAACGTCATTAATACGTATTTAATATTGAGTTTAATATCGAATTGAGTATAGTGCAAACTAGAAGATATATTTTATTTTATTCTATACCTTTAGTCTGCATAAACTTTTTATGTAAGCGCCTTCCAGTTCTTTTCCGTTTTTTATCGTCTATTCTGATAGAGCTTTGCTTTTTTTCGGCAAACGCACCGCGCACGATCGCTTGTCGCACATTTTTTCAACCTCTCTCGTTCGTTCTTTCTTTCTCTCTTCACGTGATCGTAATCTTTTTTTCACACACTTGTCTTTCTCTATCCTATCTGCCGTCGGCGTCGTTTATATCTTCTAATTTTCTCGTCTCCTCGCCCTGATTTCTTCGCCCATGCTCGAGATGCATTTCACTCACAACGTTGGATTTTAATTACATATTTTTTCACGTACTTCTCATTCTCTTCCTCTTCATATATATTCCCCTTTCCTCTTTCTTGACATCCGTCGCAGTCAGGAGAACTCTGTAAGAGAAAGAGAACGCGAAATTTCAACTGAAAATGGCGATGCATTATGCAAGCAAAAATTCTTCATTTATTCTGAACAAGATAAAGAATAAGATGCACGATTAAATAAAGTAAAGTAAGATAGACTTGTATCAATTTTTAGAATACATTAATTTTCATTAAATATGTTGAATATTTCCTTTTGAAAATACTTAAATTTATAAAAAACTGCAATTTTTTACTTGCTGTGATAATAGCAATGACAGGCATATCTATAGTACAATTGATAATAAGCGTTGAAGAAAATTGATAATAAACGATGAAGAAAAATAATTTAAAGTAATAATAGTTATTTTAATCGTTACATTCGACGTTAAATTCGTAATATTTTTATACTTTATTCTCTTATTCTCTTTATATTATCCAGACTTGACTTCATTATCTACTTTTACTTGTATTACTGATATAATCATATATGAGACCATCGAAACACTTTTAATTTAAATGTTATGTAACTAAAAACGTATTATAATCTTTATTTGATTCTAACCACAGATTTCTATAATTAGATCGCTAACATGATATAATTTGTTACGAGACAGTTTGAGGCCACGGACGCCATATTTACCCGGTCATCACATACAGTGCTTTGTGAAGTAGTGTTAGTGTGCTCACTTCGCTTTGATTACATTTATATTTTGTAAAATTACAATAAAATTGAAAAAAAAATCTTATATTTTTTTTTTATTTTTCGTTTTGGAACAATTAAAAAGATGCCTTATAAGTGTGCAGTTTCTCATTGCAATTGCAACAATAAAAGTTCTAATATCTTTATTTCGATGTGTATCTATAATTAATAAATATTAGTTTTACACAAATAAAGAAATGAAGTAATAATTAAAATAAAAAAATATATACAGCATCAGAGAGAAGGATTTTCTTTGAGAGCACGTATATAAAGTATTCAATAAACTTACGGTTAAAGTGACTCTTAAAAGATGCTACAGTTTGGTCATGACCAGATAAAGATGGCCGTCATCCTCTCTCCTATCAAATTAGCTTCACGTCCATCTTACGGAGTTATAGTTATAGAAATCTGTGATTTTAACGTGTTAATTAAAACAGCATTCAATTGATTCATATCGATTCAATCAATTTTATCCTTTATTAATTTAATCTTAAGTTTAATTATATTGTAAGTATATTATAAATTTTGATATGTACTCCAAGTGTAGATATTATAATATTTTATTGTTTTGGGTACAAGCGCGTGAGATATTTATCTATATTTTATATTATTAAATATTTCCGCATAAATTCAGCTTCGATATAATCAAAGTGATAGAAAGTTGAGTGAATAATGCTTCTCCATTTAACACCGCGCTTTTATAACTTAATAACGGATTCCGTGTTATATACAGGCAAATGCCGCGGGTTATAAATTATGTTAGGAAACTTCGGTGCGAGAAGAATATCGGTGGCGCACGCAAAACTAAACAAACCTTTCACGAACATCCTAATGACACGTAACGAACGCGACTGACACGAACTATGCTCGAACTTCAAAACGCGAGGGGTAGCTCTCATGTAAATACTGAAGAGGCAGGGAGAAATGCAAGAAAATGGGGCGATATTACCCAGAGGTGAATAAATGTGAAAATTAATTATACTGAAGTAGGTACGTCAAGCTGTTAATTGATGTTCGATAGGTTCCTTGAATAATGGCTTATAAAATAGAAGGCCGAGATCTTTTGATTATTTAAAGAAAGTGGAAATACTGTGTTGATGAACATATTTTTAACTTTCAACTTTCTATAAAAAATGTTACTTGCTGCTTAGCATTGTTAAGAAACTGAATTTAGTTCACGCATTTGTTAATATCTGAATTTATATATATTTAAAAATTAATTTCTTAAAATCTCTCTTTTTCTCTCTTAAAATTGCTACTTGTCCGTAACTATCATAGATATATGTATAATGACATCATCTGGATGTGATTATTGGTGAAGATAATGTCGGTAAGATTCTTACTAAAGAGTGTCGAACTGGATGATTGTTTGACCAACGTCACAGCAATTCGCTTATTTACTATCATTTGTTTGTCGATTGATCGCGATGCGTACCACCGTCTCCTGCCGAATTGTTTGAACGGTAGACTCGCCGGACGCCGGTTTCCCGGCCTCCCACCTCCGAGAATCGACGCGGTATCGTGCAATTTCGACAAATTATTCGGTACTTATCGCCCTCCCCATCATGGACGACACCAGACTGTACAAGTACTATCGAACGTCCGGATACGGTTTGAATTCGCTGGTCAGAAATGCCGATCGATTAGGTTACCTCGATTCCGTTCGAGGATCTCAATTTTTCACGAACCGTGCTTCGTTTCAGATATACCGATTTCTCATCGCCGATTACAATCTCAGGCGGTTCTTCAACTTGAATGCTTATTGCGGAGCGGTGACTTTTATTACGTTCATCTTCGTAGTGATTATGGCTGTCTGTTCGATAGCAGTAAGTTTAATATAGAGCATTTTTAATTACAGAACGGGTAATAGAATAGTTTCGCTTCTTTGATACATGTAGCAATTATTTTATTTCATTAGATACGGAATTTATCAGATAATTAACAAAAGGGTTTAGATTATATTAGCAACGTCTAAAAAACTTATCTGTTAATTAACTTCGTCCGTAATAGCAAGCACGAAAGCTTCTATGCACAATTATTCATTTGACAGAGAAAATTCAAGTGAGCTTATTATTCTGGCAATTAATTTGCATATGATACCCGTATGACTCGATACAATAATTAAAACGCCATGACAATACGAGTACACCATTCTATAATTAATTGTTTGCTTTAAATCCAACGTAATAATATTATTTCAACGTGTAATTAATCAAGGAACAATAAGCGATCGAAATCGCGGAATTATCGATATATTCCCCGTCGTATCGTGGCCGATTTTTGAATAGATAATGCTCATCGTTATATATATCGTACGAAAGAAAACGAGTCACGTATCTTTCGAAAACCTTGCCAGCGCCGAACTCTCTTGCCGGCTTAAAGAAAATGTAAACAACTTTGCGAGGCAATCGCTTGAATACTGATGTTTTCGCGCACGTGCCACGTTGTAACAAATATAATTCTTATACACACGAAAAAGTACCTATACCATGCCTCTTCAATTTTGACGAAGGAGATTTCAACTATTTCCCACGCGAATAACGTTTGCTTTAATCCTTTTTTTTTTTATCGAGCTAACGACGTACAGAAGTTACAATTTCGAACTTCAAATAAATATACAAACAAAAGTTTTTATTGATTTTCAGTCTGCTATTTTTAGCTTTACATCTACGAGGTTTATTTCTTGATAAAACGGATTAGAAAGCACGCGATAATTTCGTGACAATTCGTAACTATTTGTAAAAAGATAAGCAAACAGTGAGCGGTAGGAAATCAGAAACGAATATATAAGAAAGTGTAAAAGTTAGTTTAAATTTAATTTTATATATTAATTGCTTCAAATATTCAAATCTTTATTCTGATGTTAGAGTTTGAACACGGTGACGTTGAACGATATACTTTTTCGTGAATTATTCGAGAAAGCGGAGAAGGTAAGTTGGGCAGTTTCGGCAATCACAGCTAAATTGAAGTTTGATCGAGACTAGAGTGATATTGAATCGCACTTTGAAAGCGTCAACGTTGACTGCCAATAATTTGTAGAAGCTACCGCGAATGGAGAGCGTCATTAGCATCATACCTCCGTACAAATGCATTCACAAGCATGTAAGCTTATTACTTAAGTACCGAACATTTTTAAAGAACACGATTAATATTTTGCGTCACGCTGTCTAATTATTTCGACATCTAGCTACAGCGGATGAGCGTGTTCCAAGAGAAAACAAAGAAAATGGTGGGTATCGATAATCTGTTCGGTCGCTTGCTATACTCTCACTAATTAAATACTTTAATTTCCGGATTTCCGGATCTCGCTGTAACAGTTATGCAAAGAGCAACTGGAGCTGGAAATAATGAACAGCAAAATGTCGTGCATCGAGAAGCTATTGAAGCCCGAGGTAAATTATTTGTCGCAATAAATGGGACACATTGTGGGTCGTTACTAGAATAAATAAAAAAAAACCCGTTTCAAACTTGAGCGCCATTCACGCGCGTATTCTTTGTCGCGCTGTAACTCAACACTATATTGATAAAAATAATCGACTCCACCGCCAACTCGCATACCTATTCAGAATTTACGCGCGATCATCGACCTTAAATAATTTAATAACCAGCAGGTCGCGGAGATGAATACGATGAAACTCGCGCGGGGGACTCGTACAAAGGGATAAACCGTGTGTCGATCACGAGCTCGTTTTTAATTAAAATTTAGCCGCTGTCGAAGAATGAGAGATTTAATAAAACGCATTTATGCGATTTTCCGCGTATACGCGGGGGATATTGTTACGATAGAAAGAAGTATCTCTTTTGCTGCACGCGGGACGATCTATAAATTCTGAATTACCAAAGGTCGTATAAACGTATCATGGCCTCGAAGACTTTCGGTCGTTGCGTCGGGCATTAGATCAGTCTCGGTATATCCGGCAGGCAGTTGCGCTCGATTGGCAGACATAAAATTAGATTCGACCCTATCTCAGACCTTTCTGTGGCTATCCAGTTTATATTGCATGACGGGATATTTTTACTCATCTGTTAACCCTTTCTGAACGGGGATATTTCGATACTTGTCTTTAATTAAGCGTGTCATACTTCTATTTCTTACCGACAATGGAGTTGATATTCAACATGAAGCATAAACCTCCGAATTAGTGAATCATTGAAGGTACAGGTATCATTAATGAGAGGGTATATCGTACGGAAATTACGAGTTATACATGTCATATTCTCGTTAGAGGATTAAGGTAATTCTGAGCATCAAAAGATATTCTGTTCGTCGGCAAAGTGATCATCGAAACTTTCGAAGTTGTGATAATTTAGGAATTTTCTGCTTAGCTTTGTTTCTTTTAATCGATATATGTGACGAATCTTTCCCGCGATACTCGTGCGTCATTATATTGTGCGAATTAATTTATTTGTTGTCTGATAAAATAATAATTATTATTAATAAAATTATTGACATATAATAACGGCGTATTTTGCACTAATTGAATATCGTCATAATGCGAATTTGTTGATAGTAACTACGTCCGATTATTATGCTAATATAATGTATCTATTATACAAATATTATATATAATTCTTTATTAATAGTACTCTCTTGTGTAGGAACAGTCCAAGTGGCGTCGTAGTAGATCACCAAAGGTATACCATCGTCCTATTAACGTGGAAGCATCAAAGTAGAAAGTAATTTATATACAGGAAAAGAAGACGCATACATATGTAAAATCTGATAAAATTTTATTCTGAATTTTGTAATTGATGTTTTTGTTAACGATATATAATTGATATAAACATAATGGTTGTTGTCTGACGTTATATTTTAAACACTCAGTATAAATCTTGTGGCATAGTGAACTAGTAATATATATTTGCACATATCTCCGTCAGTTGTAAGCATTAATGACCCTTTGCGACTTGATAAATGTCTCAAAATTATATTGGAATTATTAAGTCCGCCCGCTGTATCTGTATTTTATGGATACCGAGCACACGTTATAATACTATAGTATGCATATCAGATACGAATTGATGTAAATTGTAAAACTTAACGTATTATAACCGCGTTCGATAAAACTCGAAAACATTTTCACACATAGTGAAAAAAAAAAAACAGTTGCAAACAATGGTTTTGTAATCGAAGTATCGTTGTTCTGACACACCTTGATCAAACACACGTAATTTTCGGATAACATGCAAAGCAGTATAAATCATGACCTATTAAATGAACTGTGTATCACGTATAAACGTCACAGTTTTTCTGACAAAATTTTTTACACTGAAACAGGCGGCGCCGCAGGATGCTGAAACTCTAGTACGTGCCGAAACTCGCCGAAAAAAAAAAATGTGGCGACCTTTTTTGCGGTCGACCACATGTGAACGACGAGTGCTGTTGCGTTCTGTAAAAAGTAAACGCCATAACGTCGCTTACGTTACTTTTCCATTCTTCAATATTCAACCATGTCAGACCATGTTATTTTAGAGTGTAAAAAGTCACGAAAGTCGATTGTTCAGATGCGCCAATTTTTTTAAGTACGTTTCACGTTACACATATAATTATATATATAGATATATTCATTCGAGTATTCTAGGTATGTGATACGTAAAAATCGATGATACGTTACGATCTGTGTCAGAAATCATACGTTGAAAAATTAAATGTTTAACTTGAACCACTTTCTGTTCAAAAATACCTAAGTCGTTGCTGAAAACGTTGCTAAAAATTCTGTGAGACAAATTATATTTTAATGATAATTATGAAGAAATCAGACCTTATTTCGATAAAATTAAGAATGTTATTTTCATTTAAAACAACTCGTCCAACATAAAATTAATCAAATAATTCTTAAGATCGAGAGAAGTTACTTGAATACATATATAGGCAATATACGTTATGTAACAATAAGAGCTATTGTGAGCACAACACCATTGTCTCGAGACAATAACCGTTAATAAAGTTTAACACTATTATCTAACTCGGAAATAAGAAAAGACAATTTAGCATGATTGCAATCTACCGAACTTTAACGTCTATTATCTCAAGACGATCACGTGTGCTTGCAATACACACTTTGCACAATACTGTACCTGTGCAAAACGTATCACTAATGTAATTATTAATAACTCTATAGCCATAATAAATCCACATTGCGGAGAAAACATAAATAAATTGGAGCCAAGATTACCATGTCTGATTGTATGTGCAAGTAATGAATGATCCTTTCATTTCGAGAATATTTTGAAATAGATTAATCTAACATTTAGATATAGAAAATTTCGTGAAAGTATATACTATAACATAAATTGAAATAATTTGGGGATAGAAGAAGAACAGAGAGAGAAAGTAGAGATAGAAAGAATCGTGCGAATTACTTTTATCTTTCTAAATTGAGCTAAGATAATATTATCTTCTAAAATAATACTTTACGCTATGCGACCTATATTTCGTTTATAAATTTCGATTTCTATCCCCCGATTAAAGTTTACTCACCCCGGTGCCGACCGATATCGCGCACCATCCCTCTTCCTTTCTCGCCCGAGCTTACGGATGTCGCCAGTAGTGCCGGTCCGGTCTGTCGCGGCGCGGCGAGTCTGGCCACGACCGTCTGTTTCCACTTTCGATCCCCCGCCACGGCGGGGTTGGAGAGACTGGCTCAGGAATTGAACGCGGCTACGTGGCGTACGAGAACAGGGTCTTTGCTCCCGTTTAATATTTTAGCCAGTCCATTGGCTGCTGCCGCCCGAGGCATCGACATGCGCTCTGGCTTTCGGTTCGCTCCGTTCCGCTCGGCTCGGCTCGGCTCGGCACGGCACGACACGGAACGGCACGGCACGGCACGGCACGCCGTGCTTTTCGCACGCCTCGTTACGTCAGACCGGACTTTCAACTCCGAGGTTCTATCTAACGAATGCGCTACGCGGCATCCGTTATCGATATGGGGATGAGACGGATCGATTTGCGCCGCGCGCGCTCGGCCTGTTTATTCGGCCATCGATCCCGCAGCTATCGAACCGCAGCGGCCGCTTACGGTTCGGGAGACGGGAAGTGTTGCATTCCGACCGATTCGCGAGAGAACGGGCTTCGAAAGGACCTCGTTATATATGGGTAGATCGTTACTGTATCGTTAAATTCGGATTTCTCTGTCCTGCCTCCTCGACGATATAAGATCGAAAGACAAAAAGGGAAACTGCAAACCGAATCTAAAGAAATAAGACATCTTATGCAGGAATTTTAATCCCAATATTATACCACTTTCTTTCTTTCTTATTGATCGTTTTCTTAGATTCTGAATTGATCTGATAATCGTTTTTTAAATACGACGCGAAACAATTCTTACGAGAATAAAACGAATTTATTTTATAACGTCAAAAATCTTGATACTTTGCAGAACAGTAAAATCGGTCGATATTTTAAACCTATGATATATGGAGCCACATTTGATGCTTGTGGGAACTAACGCGAGGGAATATTTCATGTTTGCCCGATGTAACGTTGATGAATGGATAATGTTCGCGAAGTTTAGAACCGGCCTTAAAGCTTAATTCTTCCGTGCGAAATATTCCGTAAGCCGCAGACCACGTGTTAACATCACAAAGAAAATTATTGCCGATCTTGATACAAATGCGACGTACGATAAACTGCGGTAAACAGCTTACATTAAATATCTGCGACATCATGCGCCTGTCTTAGAGATACATGGTAAAAAAATATTGACAATTTTTCTTATATTTGACTTGAAAATTTAGCGGGGACGCGATATACCCCTACTCCTACTTCTACCATCTCCGTGCTACGATCTCCGGATTTTTAAACCTCGTGAAATGGCAACCGTAGTGTTGACGTTGGAGAATCGGGTATAGAGAGTAGCTTCTATATCTCCCGTACCACTACGTGGTCACTGAACCGTGCGGAGAATTTTTAAAGTAGAAGAAACCTTACAGCAAACAGACTATTGCTGGCATAGCATAGACGTCTAAAAGCATAATTTGCATGCTTCCCGCATGCTGTAAAGCCGCGTGTCTATATAATTAAGTTTAGTATAGCGGAGACATAGCATTGTGACGTAGAATCGAAGTTAGCTGGTAGCGGGATTCAGCAGAGATTTAATAAACTTGATATTAAATAACGACGAATATCAAATCTAGAATATAATTTGGACATAATACGTTCAGAAATTTTGCTAGTACGTGAAGATTGAAACTGATAACAATTGGTATGAAGGATTGATTGATGTTTGTGCTTCTAATACGCGATTCGGCATGGCTTCTTTTGTCGTCCATCGACTATAGTCAGCAAAGCCATATATATGCTGATCGGCATTTTGTGCCAACTGGCATAGATCGATTGACACGTATTCAGTAACGGGCATTGCCCAATGATCTTGTTGATCGACAAAGGCGATTATAGTAACGGGTGTAGAAGGTGCTTTAAAGCGAAAACAATCTCGCAAATTATGTGCAAATAGGTTTATTAGAGAAGACTATAGAGTTGAGCGTGGCATGACGCGATTTGAGATTAGAGCATTAAAAAGTATAATTTATTAATTAAACCGGTGCCGCGATTATGTACGTGTCGATTATTCTTTTTTATTCATGACATGATTCGATCAGTGCAATTAAAAAATAAATAATTTAAGAATGTACTTAATGCTTTTTAAGATTTGTTTGAACTTGGTATTTCATATTTTATACCATAGAAGTGGTTCACTGCAGTGCAAATGCGGTCGAGAGATGCGCAAATTGCTAGTGATTATATATTTTATAAGAAGCCTTTCGCAGATTGACATGTTACTACCAATGTCTCGCAGTAGTAGAAGTGCATGGTAATACAATTTGGGAATGACTTCGGTTGTAGACGGAATTACACGAAAACCCCATTTATTCTACGTGTCGATAAGCCTTTGAGAAATCGATCGTACCGCAGCAGGCAGGTTGTTTATGCAAGTGTCGGTTACGTTACCACGCCGATAGCCTCGTTTGGCAAGTGTCTCGCGTCGCCATGCTTTACCGCGAAATAACCCAATAGCTCTGACACGTATCTCTGTAACGCTCGAACTTCGGAAATTTCGGACACGCGGCTGACAATGATTTCGCATTTATGGACGTGGTTTTCGCACTCGACTCATAAAGACTTTGCCTCACTATGTAATCTAGATCAAACTGACCGAAACCAATAGATGTATTGTTTACACCCAACACATAAAAAAGAAAAAAAAATCTGAAATTTGACAAGCAAGATATATCATTGCGCCATTGCTATAAACGTATATTTTATTCAAAAAATAATTACGAGGGTCAGTACGGAAGTAATGTTTTCTCATTTTTTTTCTTTCGAATCTGGCGTCATAGAAAATTTTTTGTTTTACTTGTTACTTGAAGTCTCTAGTTACATTATGTTGAGTGGTGTTGTGATCAGTTACATTAGTGTGTCACACGAACAGTTCAAACTGGTGTGTGTTTTAGATACGCGTAACAGACAAGGGCGGTGATTGAATTTCTTACCGTGGAAGAAGTGAGTTCTATTGAAATCCATTCGTATTTTAAAAATCGTGTTATCATAAACATTTCTGAGACGCGAATGAATTTTTGCGAATGAGACTGCGTTCAGCAGGAAAAGCAACTCAGCGATCGGTAATTTTTTAAAATAATTGGAGCTTGCCTTTAGTTCTTCCCTGGATTCAAGT